CATGTACCTTTGTTGCGGGCACATCCCCAGTGGGGAGTGTGCAGGAGGCAGCTGATCGATGTTTCTAACCCTCTGTCCCTCTCCCTTCCTCTCTGTAAAAAATCAATAAAATATATTTTTTAAAAATAATAATAAAATAAAGACATACCCTATTTTGGGGCAGAAAAGTGCTCTGGCCTTGACATTCCTAAAGCGAGTGTCGCATAACTAGAGTGTCTGTCACCACACCATCCACCTCCTGCGTGCCCGGGGCAGACAGCACTAATCAACCTCAGCACTCCCCTCAGCCAGCTCTGACCCAGCTTCAGAATCCTCCCTAACACAGTGCTGTAGGCAGCTGGTCATAAGGTGTGTGCATTTTCGTGTGAATTAAAATCGCTTTGCCGCACCCCCCTTCTAAACGAGGTATCCATGCGACTCAAGATGTGGTGATAACTGCACTGGACTTCAAAGCCAGAAGAATTGGTTTGACCCCTGAATCGCAGGTTCCGAGCTCTGTGATCTGAGGCAAGTCTCTCAGCCTTTCTGGGACCGTTTCCTTGTCTCTGAAATGAGGCAGTTGAATTAAATAACCTTGAAGCATCCTTCCAGGTCTGAAAAATGTTACGATTCCGGGTATACAGGCTCCTCAGGAGACATTCAGAGTTACGACCCTGGACTTTTATAAAAACCACAGGGGGCTCGAGGAAGTTTGTCTATTACAGATCTAGGTTGGCTTTCTCAAGTATGTGGTTCTAGCATTTTCTGACTACTTTTTCCCCTGCCCAGTCCTACTGACCCATGTCTCTGAAACCATAAGTTAGGGGTTCAAAAGAGGGGGAGTGGGGGAGAGTCACTTCAAACCCAAGGTGCTTCTGGCTGTGGGGGACTCGAACGTTCTCCCTCCCAGGCTGAACACATCTGCACGCATCCTGCCCACCCGGCCATTACAGGTCTTGAGTTGCTTCTTCTTCTCCTCCCTCCTTCCCATCTGGAGGCCCCGCCAGGCAGAGTCTCAGCAGGTGGTCCTCCAAGGGTCCTGGCCTCCTTCTGCCCCGGCTCCCTGGGTGACCTGCCTCCCTGCTTGTCTTCCAGGCCCCGCTTCCCTCCGGGCATATCCTCTCCTCTCCGTGATCACCCGACAGCCCACAGTCATCTCTCACCTGGTCCCCGCCACCCCGGGAATCGCCCAGACGCTGTCCCGCCCCGC